GGTTGGGGGGGGTTGTTGTTGTTTTCCAGCTAAATGTTTTTTGTTTGTTTTTTTATTTTTTGTTTTGGTTTATTCGTTTGTTAGTTGGTTGTTGGTGGTTTGTTTGTTGTTGCTGGGGTTTTTTTGTCAGCGTTATAGTTTGATGTCAAAGGGCGCTTCTTATCCCCGGCATGGTTGGCTTTTTTTTTTCATCGCGTCCATTGAGGTTGAAAATAAATTTTCGAGTTGTTTAACTGTACTCTGTTTGCTTCAAACAGCCAAATGAATAACTCCCCTTTGAACACGACATGATTGTTTGAAACTTCCAAAACCTTAAATTAAGCACGACGCCTCACAAACTAAAAAATTCAACTTTTTCTTGTGCCTTAAAATATATAAAGTACTAGCTGGGTACCTCGTTCGATGAACGGACTCAAAAGAATAGATCGTCACGTCATTGTGGAGCCAGTGCACACTGCTTGTGGACGAAAGCCTCACTTGTTTACAATGGCGTCTTAGAAGACGGACCTTCCCAAGATTAGATCTAAACGAAATTAAAGAAAAACTGGAAATTGGACTTCAGTGACCTCAGACTCCTTAACATAACTATGCACCCATTAAAATGATTCTGAAACACAGTTAATTTTTTTCAACAAAAATTAATTAGTGGTTGGGAAATTTCAGGGGACTAAAATGACGAACTTTTCACAAATATAATAATATATGACGTCACAATACGAGTGACACTAGTACTGTAAGTCATCACATCTTTTGACTCAATAAATTATTAATTTTTTTTAAAAGACAAAGAGAAAATCATTTATTATTACACAATCAAGACAAATAATTGATACAAGAATAATATTGGTAACAGTTTAATGATAAGAGCCAGTGCAGGCTGTCAAAAGTTATCTGAACAAAAAAACACCAAAAAACAAAACAAAGAAAGATTTTTTGAATAGGGCTAGCTACACACAAAGTCACGCGTGCTGTAGATGATAATATAATCTGTGTTTTTCTTGTTGTTGTTTTTTTTAATCGAACCTATCATATTTGAATTTGAGCATTGTTTATCCACAGCCCCC